TGCCACCTCCGGAGGCTCGTTCGCGCATCCCGCAATACCAGGAACCTTTTCCTTAAGTTGGCAGTTGCGTCACGTCGCGGCAACTACAAAGCGCGCCTCCACTTCCCCCTGCTCCTCCTCATCCTCCCCCTCCTCCTCCCCCCATCCACCCCTCGCAGGCCGTGCATTTCCTCCACCGTCGCCGCCGCGCCGCGACGATGCGGCACACAACACCACACCACACTTGCATACCTAGTTATTTCGTACTTAAGCATTGCACGCGCGCACCGCCGAGCATCCGCGCGCGCACGCACGCACACGCGCGCATAATTGGTCCTGCGACGAACGCAAAAATGTGCCGCCACTGGTGCCGCTACAAGTGGTTTTTCCCTACGAGTTTTATCGGCGATCGATGCGTTTCAACACGCCGGTGAGAACGATACACAGCGAGGGTTTTATCTAGTGGAGTGTTCGAGCTACGAATCTGTGGTACATGTATAGGAGCGAGAAATTTGAATAGCTTCGAACGTGACTCGAAGCTTGAAAACTTGTCGCGAGTGTTGCGGGGTCTAGAGTTTCTCGCGGCAAATTTTTTTTCAAATAAATCGCAGCGAGAATCATTTTGTAACTGCACACGGCGACAAATCGTCGTTTTCAAAAAGTTTTTTGCGATTCGAACTGCTTGCCAAAAAAAAAAAAAAAAAGAATTGCACCACTTGGAAATTCTGGTTCTACAAACCACGTATTGTTTTTTTTTTTTTTTTTTTTTTTTTTAGGTTAGGTTACTTTAGGTTAGAAAAGAAAAGCCTTTGGCTTTTACAAAACTCGAATTCGAAATTAATCATAAAAATTTGAAATCATTAAACTTATGATTTAAACGAAGACCGTGCGATTTCGTTTGTTAAGTAACCTATTGCAATTTTTTTTGGCAAGCAACGCATCATCCGATTGGTGGATTGCGAACAGTTTCCAGCGGGAAGGCAATGAACAGGTTTGTTCTCCGACGGGAGACGAACGATCGAAGAAACCGGGGGATCGAAGGTCGAGGAAGGCTCGAAAACTGCAGTATTTTACTGGATCGACGGATGAAGCTTAATGAGCGAGCAGAAGCAGCAACAACCGGCAGCGGGTGGAGGGCAGACACGAAAAGAAAGCTCGAACCGATTTGAATACAATACGAACGGTTTTAATAGGAACCGAGCGACGAAACGGATCGCGAGGTGCAAACAAAAGAGAGAGGAAGAGAAAGAGAGAGAGAGAGAGAGAGA